CACTCAATGCATTTCTCGTCAGAAATGCATTGAATCAGCAGTGTGGAATTTAAAATGTCACACAAAGGATATTCCTGAGCTTTAAAACATTGATTATTTAAATAAACATTTGACAGAATAAATAATTAATTAAATAATTAGCAGAACTAATTAACAGAACAAACATTTGATTTTTTTGTTTAGGTCTCTGGAACTCTGGGGTATAGAGGATTTTAAAGTAGAAAAATGGCAGCTAAATGGCATAATATTTCATTATATGTTACAAATTAATTCGCTTTGAATGGTGAAATATTGTTTCTAAAGGAACATAACTTCAGTATACTGTTACATTAAGTTATACATTTATATGTTTATATTTTAAGTCATATTGAATTTTATATTTATACATTTTATGTTTAGAATTACATATCGTGCATTTATAAAAAATAAAAATAAAAAGTTTTTGTGTTCTATCTTAAGGTTCTTGACCGTGAGTTGCCGATTCAGGAGCCATATTTCGTGCAGAGGCCAGACCAGTGTGGGCAGACAGGCCCATCTGTGAGAGCGACCTGGCTGGGTCATGCCACTGTACTGGTGGAGATGGAAGGACTGGTGTTTCTGACTGACCCCATGTTCAGCCAGAGAGCCTCTCCAGTGGCATTCATGGGCCCAAAGCGTTTCACTGGCATGTCTCTTTGACTAGTGCAATTTTTGAGCCTATATTTAGTATAAGTAAAATACTTAAGTACTGTTAAAATCAGATACTCTGAGACTTTTACTCAAGTTGTTGTGGAATTGGTGACTTGTAACGTGTAGTGGAGTAATTTTCACTGTAAGGTATCTGTACTTTTACTCAAGTATGGTTTTTAGGTACTCTTTACACCTCTGTCCCAACTGTTCAAACACTCAAATCTGCGTAATTTACACACACACACACACAGTGAAAACAGACGTGCATGCTTTTCTATGTTCCTCCACATACTCAACTTACATTGATTATTTCACATGGGGAAAATGAATGCAATAGAATTCTGATTCACACATTTTCTATGCATTGTTACTGCCACAAGTCTTTCACTAACCTGCCCTCTTGTGGTAAAATATTGCAAGTGCATTTAACTTATGTAAAAAATATCAAAGCTTGAAAGGCTAAAAATGCGAGAAATCAGGGACCAGTTGCATAAGCATAGCCACCATGTTAAAAGTGTTTCTTAAGAACTAGTCTGACTGACTAGAAATTAGCCCATAGGTAGTTAATCAGTCTTACCTTTCAGATTTAAATGAGACAAATCTACCTTTTTGTGTAACTGATTATGACCAGTGAAACAGATAACTTGTAAGACTAGCCTAAGCAGTTTATCAAACCCGGCCCTGAATGATATTCTACATCAGATGAATCATATTTAGAGACAGCAGGGATGTTCACACGCATATGTGCTCCAGTTTTGACAAAGGATCAGCGTGAAGTGAATTAGTCTGGTCTGACTTGAGTGGCTGTTCAAACTTGCTGGCTGACTGGAAATCAGCACACCGCTCTTTACAAGGAATCTTTGAAACTTCTTTACAACCAAACCGGCGTTTTTATACAAATCTAACAGTGTAAACGACGCTATTTATACGCACCAAAACGCCGTGAAATACGGCGTGTTTTTACGCGGTTGTTGAGACGTTTTCTAAATTACCGCGGCGATATGACAGTTTAGAATGCAGAACACGCTGAGTGCATAAATCTGAGCCGTTTGTTTTTCTTGTCCTGTAGCTTCGTAAGAGTCAAACTGACGTTAAAACTTTTAAAACTTTGACGCGTTTCGTTTTTAGGTTTTTGTCCCTTATGGCCGCTCTTACATCAGTGATGCGCTTGATGCGCTTATATCAGAGACGCGCTCGTGCGCTCGCGACAGACTCGAGTTTGCTGCTGGCAGGACTGACGCATCGGTACGTACCTATTGAGCGCAGCTCAAGACACTGTTTATATGTTTGACAACACAAACCCGCGAATCCCAGCGAGCCTTACATTTTGTGTTTTATAATCTGCTCCTGTGTTCTCAGGTTGGTTGTAGACTTGTTTTTTCTTCAGATTTAACGGTAGATTATGTTCACGTTAACAAATGTGTTATAACTAGACCCCCTGGGTATGTGGTATACACTTGTGCACGTGTAATATTGTGTACATTTAAAGAGTTTTAATTATAAAGGGACGTGTCCGACAAATCCAAAAGAACACGTAATAGAAGGTACGTAACGTTAGTCCAGACTGTGTCTACAATTTTGCGGTTGGGGATAAAAAGCTGTGCAGAAAGATATATAGACAGTACAGGCCATGTGTGGTCTATACAGATAGGTACGTTTAGTAACAGTAATGCCAGTGTGCACAAAGAAACAGAAGGATATGCAGACAAATTAGAGTAATTACTAGCCATGTGTGTATTTTCAGGAGTTTTCTGCAGGACAGTTGTTTGTTTATGTGTAAGCTGTTTTATTCAGAGGTTGCTCAAATGTGTTTTTAACAGGTGTTTGTGTAGTTCAGCGGCTGGTGGGGCGTCCATGGCAGAGGAACCTTTAGTCACCGCAGGGAATAACTTCCCACTGGATTACAGGCAAGAGCAAGATGTTACGTGTTCCAGACGGGACTCTCATGGGTGCTTTGTGAACCCCTGGACAACATGGCAGTTCCCCTCCTACAGCACCATCGCTCGCCTGTTCCTCACAGAGAAGAACAACAGTAATGTTCCCAGTGCCAAAGAGGTAAACACTCAATGCATTTCTCGTCAGAAATGCATTGAATCAGCAGTGTGGAATTTAAAATGTCACACAAAGGATATTCCTGAGCTTTAAAACATTGATTATTTAAATAAACATTTGACAGAATAAATAATTAATTAAATAATTAGCAGAACTAATTAACAGAACAAACATTTGATTTTTTTGTTTAGGTCTCTGGAACTCTGGGGTATAGAGGATTTTAAAGTAGAAAAATGGCAGCTAAATGGCATAATATTTCATTATATGTTACAAATTAATTCGCTTTGAATGGTGAAATATTGTTTCTAAAGGAACATAACTTCAGTATACTGTTACATTAAGTTATACATTTATATGTTTATATTTTAAGTCATATTGAATTTTATATTTATACATTTTATGTTTAGAATTACATATCGTGCATTTATAAAAAATAAAAATAAAAAGTTTTTGTGTTCTATCTTAAGGTTCTTGACCGTGAGTTGCCGATTCAGGAGCCATATTTCGTGCAGAGGCCAGACCAGTGTGGGCAGACAGGCCCATCTGTGAGAGCGACCTGGCTGGGTCATGCCACTGTACTGGTGGAGATGGAAGGACTGGTGTTTCTGACTGACCCCATGTTCAGCCAGAGAGCCTCTCCAGTGGCATTCATGGGCCCAAAGCGTTACCGTGACCCGCCTTGCACCATAGAACAGCTTCCTCGCCTGGACGCAGTGGTGATCAGTCACACACACTACGATCACCTCGACGCAGACTCTGTGGCAGCTCTGAACGCTCGCTTCGGTTCCAGTTTGCGCTGGTTTGTGCCGCTCGGGTTGGCCGAATGGATGCAGAAGACAGGCTGTGAGAATGTCACAGAGCTGGACTGGTGGGTAGGAAGCCGCATTCCCGGGCACGACAATGTCACATTCTTTTGCACACCAGCACAGCACTGGTGCAAACGCACTCCTGTGGATGACAACAAAGCATTATGGGGAAGCTGGACAGTCGTAGGCCCTTATTGTCGTTTCTTCTTCACTGGAGATACGGGATACTGTTCGGCATTTAAAGAGATTGGAAAACGCTTCGGACCATTCGACCTGGCTGCCATCCCGATTGGAGCATACCTGCCCAGGTAAGACTGTAAAGAACAGTTTGATTCCTAATCTAGTTGTCAAATAAACCTTATTTGATATTATGAATGTTGTTGGCTCCTTGATGAATTACTTTTGGTCCTCTTTTGTCAGAAAAGCAGGTGTGTGTATTTGAAGTACATTAATGATATAACTTGTGTTCTTAGAGGAATCATGAAGTCTCAGCATGTGGACCCTGAAGAGGCTGTTCAGATTCACATGGACATTCAGGCCAAAACATCGCTGGCCATTCACTGGGGGACGTTTGCTTTAGCCTATGAGGTATGAGCCTGTCTGTCTCTCCCACATGTTCATCACTGGCATGTCTCTTTGACTAGTGCAATTTTTGAGCCTATATTTAGTATAAGTAAAATACTTAAGTACTGTTAAAATCAGATACTCTGAGACTTTTACTCAAGTTGTTGTGGAATTGGTGACTTGTAACGTGTAGTGGAGTAATTTTCACTGTAAGGTATCTGTACTTTTACTCAAGTATGGTTTTTAGGTACTCTTTACACCTCTGTCCCAACTGTTCAAACACTCAAATCTGCGTAATTTACACACACACACACACAGTGAAAACAGACGTGCATGCTTTTCTATGTTCCTCCACATACTCAACTTACATTGATTATTTCACATGGGGAAAATGAATGCAATAGAATTCTGATTCACACATTTTCTATGCATTGTTACTGCCACAAGTCTTTCACTAACCTGCCCTCTTGTGGTAAAATATTGCAAGTGCATTTAACTTATGTAAAAAATATCAAAGCTTGAAAGGCTAAAAATGCGAGAAATCAGGGACCAGTTGCATAAGCATAGCCACCATGTTAAAAGTGTTTCTTAAGAACTAGTCTGACTGACTAGAAATTAGCCCATAGGTAGTTAATCAGTCTTACCTTTCAGATTTAAATGAGACAAATCTACCTTTTTGTGTAACTGATTATGACCAGTGAAACAGATAACTTGTAAGACTAGCCTAAGCAGTTTATCAAACCCGGCCCTGAATGATATTCTACATCAGATGAATCATATTTAGAGACAGCAGGGATGTTCACACGCATATGTGCTCCAGTTTTGACAAAGGATCAGCGTGAAGTGAATTAGTCTGGTCTGACTTGAGTGGCTGTTCAAACTTGCTGGCTGACTGGAAATCAGCACACCGCTCTTTACAAGGAATCTTTGAAACTTCTTTACAACCAAACCGGCGTTTTTATACAAATCTAACAGTGTAAACGACGCTATTTATACGCACCAAAACGCCGTGAAATACGGCGTGTTTTTACGCGGTTGTTGAGACGTTTTCTAAATTACCGCGGCGATATGACAGTTTAGAATGCAGAACACGCTGAGTGCATAAATCTGAGCCGTTTGTTTTTCTTGTCCTGTAGCTTCGTAAGAGTCAAACTGAGTGTTGACACGTTAAAACTTTGACGCGTTTCGTTTTTAGGTTTTTGTCCCTTATGGCCGCTCTTACATCAGCTCTTCTAGTGATGCGCTTATATCAGAGACGCGCTCGTGCGCTCGCGACAGACTCGAGTTTGCTGCTGGCAGGACTGACGCGTCGGTACGTACCTATTGAGCGCAGCTCAAGACACTGTTTATATGTTTGACAACACAAACCCGCGAATCCCAGCGAGCCTTACATTTTGTGTTTTATAATCTGCTCCTGTGTTCTCAGGTTGGTTGTAGACTTGTTTTTTCTTCAGATTTAACGGTAGATTATGTTCACGTTAACAAATGTGTTATAACTAGACCCCCTGGGTATGTGGTATACACTTGTGCACGTGTAATATTGTGTACATTTAAAGAGTTTCATTTATAAAGGGACGTGTCCGACAAATCCAAAAGAACACGTAATAGAAGGTACGTAACGTTAGTCCACACTGTCTACAATTTTGCGGTTGGGGATAAAAAGCTGTGCAGAAAGATATATAGACAGTACAGGCCATGTGTGGTCTATACAGATAGGTACGTTTAGTAACAGTAATGCCAGTGTGCACAAAGAAACAGAAGGATATGCAGACAAATTAGAGTAATTACTAGCCATGTGTGTATTTTCAGGAGTTTTCTGCAGGACAGTTGTTTGTTTATGTGTAAGCTGTTTTATTCAGAGGTTGCTCAAATGTGTTTTTAACAGGTGTTTGTGTAGTTCAGCGGCTGGTGGGGCGTCCATGGCAGAGGAACCTTTAGTCACCGCAGGGAATAACTTCCCACTGGATTACAGGCAAGAGCAAGATGTTACGTGTTCCAGACGGGACTCTCATGGGTGCTTTGTGAACCCCTGGACAACATGGCAGTTCCCCTCCTACAGCACCATCGCTCGCCTGTTCCTCACAGAGAAGAACAACAGTAATGTTCCCAGTGCCAAAGAGGTAAACACTCAATGCATTTCTCGTCAGAAATGCATTGAATCAGCAGTGTGGAATTTAAAATGTCACACAAAGGATATTCCTGAGCTTTAAAACATTGATTATTTAAATAAACATTTGACAGAATAAATAATTAATTAAATAATTAGCAGAACTAATTAACAGAACAAACATTTGATTTTTTTGTTTAGGTCTCTGGAACTCTGGGGTATAGAGGATTTTAAAGTAGAAAAATGGCAGCTAAATGGCATAATATTTCATTATATGTTACAAATTAATTCGCTTTGAATGGTGAAATATTGTTTCTAAAGGAACATAACTTCAGTATACTGTTACATTAAGTTATACATTTATATGTTTATATTTTAAGTCATATTGAATTTTATATTTATACATTTTATGTTTAGAATTACATATCGTGCATTTATAAAAAATAAAAATAAAAAGTTTTTGTGTTCTATCTTAAGGTTCTTGACCGTGAGTTGCCGATTCAGGAGCCATATTTCGTGCAGAGGCCAGACCAGTGTGGGCAGACAGGCCCATCTGTGAGAGCGACCTGGCTGGGTCATGCCACTGTACTGGTGGAGATGGAAGGACTGGTGTTTCTGACTGACCCCATGTTCAGCCAGAGAGCCTCTCCAGTGGCATTCATGGGCCCAAAGCGTTACCGTGACCCGCCTTGCACCATAGAACAGCTTCCTCGCCTGGACGCAGTGGTGATCAGTCACACACACTACGATCACCTCGACGCAGACTCTGTGGCAGCTCTGAACGCTCGCTTCGGTTCCAGTTTGCGCTGGTTTGTGCCGCTCGGGTTGGCCGAATGGATGCAGAAGACAGGCTGTGAGAATGTCACAGAGCTGGACTGGTGGGTAGGAAGCCGCATTCCCGGGCACGACAATGTCACATTCTTTTGCACACCAGCACAGCACTGGTGCAAACGCACTCCTGTGGATGACAACAAAGCATTATGGGGAAGCTGGACAGTCGTAGGCCCTTATTGTCGTTTCTTCTTCACTGGAGATACGGGATACTGTTCGGCATTTAAAGAGATTGGAAAACGCTTCGGACCATTCGACCTGGCTGCCATCCCGATTGGAGCATACCTGCCCAGGTAAGACTGTAAAGAACAGTTTGATTCCTAATCTAGTTGTCAAATAAACCTTATTTGATATTATGAATGTTGTTGGCTCCTTGATGAATTACTTTTGGTCCTCTTTTGTCAGAAAAGCAGGTGTGTGTATTTGAAGTACATTAATGATATAACTTGTGTTCTTAGAGGAATCATGAAGTCTCAGCATGTGGACCCTGAAGAGGCTGTTCAGATTCACATGGACATTCAGGCCAAAACATCGCTGGCCATTCACTGGGGGACGTTTGCTTTAGCCTATGAGGTATGAGCCTGTCTGTCTCTCCCACATGTTCATTCTCTCAGTGTGAATGGCCTCCACTGAGCTGGCCAGCTGTCACTGCTCTGATTGTGTGTAATTGTTGTCCAGCTGTGCTTGGGGAGTCCAGTCTTTGTTGTTGTATTGCGTCAGGCTTCACTGCTGTGCCTACGCATTCATGCTTCTCTGAGGGAGAGTCTAGCCTGAAGAAGCATTTAGACATTTTTGAGCAGGTTTTCCAGATTAGCGTTCAAATAGTTAGCTGATTTAGTCATCTTAGAAAACTTGTTTTACTGTGTTTTAGGATTAGGTCTTGTTATGCATGTTATATTTATGTTATTCTGAGGATTAATAAGGGGAGAGAACACATTTTTGGGCCTTTGTTTAAGCTCTAGATATTCAGTTAGGATTAGGGATGTTTTGCAGTTCAGGCCCTTTACTTTTCTGTTTAATTATTTTTTTTAATTACAGTAGAAAACAGTTAATTTAAACTGTAATTATATATGTAATCGGTGACCCTGGACCACAAAACCAGTCTTAAGTCGCTGGGGTATATTTTCATGTTCCATGAAGATATTTTGTCTTACCGTAAATATATCAAAACTTAATTTTTGATTACTAATATGCATTGCTAAGAACTTAATTTGGACAACTTTAAAGGCAATTTTCTCAATATTTTGATTTTTTTGCGATTTTTTGCGAATATTTTGAGATTCCAGATTTTCAAATAGTTGTATCTCGGCCAAATATTGTCCTATCATAACAAACCATACATCAATGGAAAGATTATTTATTCAGCTTTCAG